ACCCATGCCTCTGTACATTTATGATAGGAACATAACCAACATCAAATGAGAAGGGAACCCACTGTATTAAGAGAATGTATATTTGGCAATGATACATCTTATAAAAAGTTAATTTCTCACACACACACACACACACACGCACACACACACACACACACAGTACTCATACAACTGGAAAAAGAAATGATATATCTGGGATCAGGCGTCGCTAGGAGGCCCAGTAAGCTGCATGAGGAGGAGGCGCCCCATGCCATCAGCTCATACGCATGACCACACGGGGTAGTGGGTCCCCTGGGAGCCGCTGTTGGAGTGAAGAGGCTGACTCGATTCAAGGATGGGTCAATATGGTCTATAATGGACACAGAGGGGGCCAGAGAGAGAGCAGTGACGGGGGAAATCTTCCCGTGCGCAGAAGTTTGGGCAGGGCACTTGGTTATCCACTTTGTGTGGGAAGAGTGGTGGCCTGGGATTAGAATATACATGGATTCAGTCAGGGGTGACCAAGCAGAACGTTAAAATGAAATTCCCTTTGCCGTTCGTGTCTCAATTGGGGCATTTGCTTTTTTGACATTAATACAACTAATATTTTCGTTCTTGGCCCTGTGCTCCTCTAGTTTCTCATCTGTCCTACTTCTCATTAGAAATCAAGGGCTTATCACTGAGGTCCCTACAGAGTCCCATGAGTTTCTTTGGTATATTTCCTGCTTCTTTATCGGGACCATTTGTAACAACCCAGGGAAGTTACTTTAGTTATTCCCGAACTCTATAGCTTTGTTTCCACATTGGCAAAAAAATGTGTCTATAAATTCTCTCTGAAGTCTTTTAAAAAATATATATTTTTTGTTGATTTCAGAGAGGAAGGGAGAGGGAGAGAGAGAAACAACACTGATGACAATCACTGATTGGCTGCCTCCTTCATGCCCCCTACTGGGAACCAAGCCCGCAACCTGGAATTTAACTATGATCTCCTGGTTTATAGATCAACGCTCAACCTCTGAGCAACACTGGCTAGGCTCTCTGAATTTTTTGTGTTCTTCCTTTGTAAAGACTAGGATATATGTCTGACCCAGCCAGACATGGATGATAACTTCTCTTAAAATTCAAATGTCTAGACCTGCTCTAGTCTTTTCCCCTCTCCCCCTTCACCTTCTATCCCCCAGAGTATAAGCTAACTGAGAAACAAGACTAATAGTGCAGTACGAGTTTCTTTCTTAGTGGTGAGTGGGATTCAGAAATATTCCAGAGCCCCTTCCTTTGTGTCCACCCCACACAAAGGAAGGGGCTCCGGAATATTTATGATAGGAACATAACCAACATCCCCTCAGGGGAGCTCTCAGGGACTGGGCTGCAGCTTCGTGGTTGTCCCCAGGTGTGTGAGCAGCCTGAGGGCAGGGCTTCAGCCCAGGCTCCTGGTTTTCATTTTTATCTTCTGATGGGCCAGGTGCCAGTCCAGTTGGCTGAGGCTATGGCCCTTACTCCTAGTTTCTGCCAACTTTCTTTCTTTGGGATATTTCTACCTTGATCCATGTGGGGTCAAAACTGGCCAACAGGATGCTAGAAAATCCCTGCTCTCCAGAATGCCACACTCCTCTTGCTCTCAGATCCAGCCCTTCACCCTGATGCTGGCCCAAATTGAACATGAATTCTCTACAACTGCACCTGAGTTCACACGAAGACCTTGAACCTGAACTGTTAATGTTTGCAGCCTGGGTGAGTTCCCTGCCTGGGTGCCAGCCACCTCAGCGAGATTCTCACAGTGAGTGCCCACATACCCATCACTTCAGTTAGTCCTCCTGCTTTGACAAATTAGTCCCTGTTAATGAGAATTAAGACCAGAGTAGCAGATCCCTGATTAGATTCCCCACCCTCTGAAGGGTAAAATTGCTGGCAAAACAAGTGACAAATTCTCTAGAACTTCAGCATTTATCTTAATGGGACTTTGAGGATTTAATTACGATTTAGTTGTGACAAAAAGACCTTGCCTTTTTAATAGTTTTGCTGTGCATTAATAAAAAATTAGTCCAGGCATCCATCTCAACATATAGGATGTCCCCCCAAAATGTACACACACACTGAATAATTATAAAGGCGGTGTTTATTAAAATACATTTTATTTTCAAAATTGAGCTATTAGCTGTTAAAGCGTGTATACATTTTTTGGGGACACCCTCTGTGGGTGTATATATCTATATCTGTATCTATATCTATATCTATATCTATATCTATATCTATATCTATATCTATATCTATATCTATATCATCTATATCTATATCTATATAATAAAAGCCTAAGCGACTGTTACAGTAGAATGACCAGAATGACTGGTCACTATGATGTGCACTGACCCAGGGGATAGATGCTCAACATAGGAACTTCCCCCTGCTGGTCAGTGCACTCCCACAGTCAGAAGCTGGGCTCACAGCTGGTGAGCGCAGTGGCAGTGGCAGGAGCCTCTCCTGCCTCTGTGGCAGTGCTAAGGAGCAGCGAACAGGTGGGCAGTAAGAAACAAAGGGTCTTAAACTGTGAGAGGGATATCTGACTGCTGGCTTAGGCCCGCTCCCCATGGGGGGTCTTGGACTTTGAGAGGGTGCAGGCTGGGCTGAAACCCTTCCCCCACCCCCCGCCCAGTGCACAAATTTTATGCACCAGGCCTCTAGCATATATATATAATTTTCCCATAATTATATTATTTAAATTTTCCCTGACTTCATCTTTATAGATATTCAAAAGGGTAGGTATCTTCTTTCAAAGCAAAAAAGGCATAATTATTAACAGAAAACAAATAACATTAACACATACACAAACCATAGTGAAATAGTTTCCTGGGATTATAAAACAGAGAAATACTTATATGCCAGGCATTCTGACATCTATAGTTATGTTATAGTAGTTAATAACTAAACACTTGTTGATCTTTCCAAGGACAGAGAAATACCTTAAAATATATTTTTTAGAATTTTCTAAACTAAGATTTTACAGTTATAAATATTTACTCAAAATCATTAGCTAGCTTATACAAAAATATATGTATTTTTGCCTTCTTCATTCCTGATGAGATTTTTTTCTGTGATAACTTTACATTCAGACATTGCCAGTTGTTGACCAATATTTCCCATTGTGATGCCTTCAGAAAAAATATACATGGTAACCAGGAACGAACATAGAGAAAATCTGGAGAAATCCTAAATAATAAAAGCCTAATATGCTAATTGTCCAGTCATCCAGTTGGCCATTGAACCAATCAAAGCATAATATGCTAATGATATGCTAAGGTTGCTTAACTGCTCGCTATGATGTGCATTGATGTGCTATGAGGTGTAGACACTGCGACTGATAGGTTAGCTTGCTGCTGGGGTCTGGCCAATTGGGACTGAGGGAGACACTCCTGGAGCCCTCCTGTGGTCCCTCCCCGACTGGCCAACCTCCCACAACCCTCCCCGGCCCCAACTATGCACCAGTGAAATCCCTCAGCCTGGGCTGCACCCTCTTGCAATCTGGGACCCCTTGGGGAATGTCAGAGAGCCAGTTTCGGCCCAATAGTGGAACTACCAGTCAGTAGGATGTGCACTGACCATGGGGCTGAGGCTTCCCAACCCCCAGCCGAATGCACGAATTTCATGCACCGGGCCTCTAGTATATTGATAAACGCCATTATAGTCTAGCAGTTGAGTGACCAAGGTTGCCAAGAAAGCAATTCCTATTCCAAGGCCAAAACCAGTTTGAGATCTATTTAAAATCCACCACAGTTTAATGGAGAGTGCAGCCAGTGTGAGAGACAACTGTATGTTTTCCTCAAAGTCCACTTTAGTGCTGGCATGATTTCTACCAACAAAGGTGGCTACGGTGACACCGTGTTACACTGGAGCACCCTCTTTTAAATTTATGTGGTTCTTCTAGATGCTTGTCAATGCAGGGGTATAATAACCCAATCACCGTAGGAACTCCTCCTCTCCTGCATCCTCCCCCCCCCCCCCCAATCTCCTAAAATCATTAGATAGCTTAATCTCTTAAGTAAATTACACTTCACTTGGGCAGATATTAAATGTTACTTTTATTCTGTGGCCTACGGATGCATTCTGGCTCTGGATAGCCCATAGTGGAGAATTTACACACAAAGCACCATTTTGCGTGTGATGCAGCCCGGGGGGTGTCTTAAGGTGTACAACTTAGCACCACCTAGAGGCAAGCCTATAGCCTACAACAGTGTCCTTCCTGAGCTCAATAAGTGGCTGAACTGATTTCCTGCAGTTCAGTGAGAAGCGATGGCTAGGATACCTGCTGGCTGATCCCACCTCACCATGCTGGAACCATGACTCGAATTTAAGGACTAATAGATGAAGGAAGACCATTTTAAGACCACCCAAAGAAGTAACAAGGGAACTAACTGCATGGCTGTTTAGTCCCAAGAAGCTATTCTGGGTTCAGCTTCATGGATGCCCACCCAAGCAGAGCCAATGGTGGGCCCACGGAACGTTCAGGGTCCCCCTTTTAAAAAATGCAACCTAGCCGGTTTGGATCAGTAGATAGAGCGTCGGTCTGCGGACTGAAAGGTACCAGGTTCGATTCCGGTCAAGGGCATGTCCCTTGGTTGTGGGCACATCCCCAGTAGGGGGGTGTAAAAGAGGCAGCTGATCGATGTTTCTCTCTCATCGACATTTCTAACTCTCTATCTCTCTCTCTTCCTCTCTATAAAAAAAAAAAATCAATAAAAAATATCTTTTAAAAACATTCTAAAAAAAAAAAAAAAAAAATTGCAACCTAAAGGACCTGAGATCTGCTCTCGGGAATGAAGAAACAAAACTCACAACCGAAAGCATCTTTAAAACTCTATACTTGAGCCAAACATTTGGGAATAGAAGCATCTGGACAAATGGGAGGAGGTGAGAGGAGGGTTCGAGCTGTCTTCCAGCTCAGGGTGTCACGGAGCAGAAGCGGGGGGCCCTGCAGGTCCCGGGCTGCCCGCACGGGGGCGCGCGGGAGGAGCCCAGGCTTCAGGGCTTCAGTACTGGATGGCCTTCTGCATGATGCGCAGGAACTCCTCCTCGTTCACCTCGCCGTCCCCGTCGCGGTCCGCCTCGTTGATCATCTCCTGCAGCTCCTCGTCCTTGAGGTTTTCCCCCAGCTCGTTGGCCACGCGCTTCAGGTTCCGGAAGGAGATCTTGCCCGTCTCGTCGTCGTCGAAGAGCCTGAAGGCCCTGAGGATCTCCTCCTTGGTGTCCTTCTCGGCCATCTTCTGGGTCATCACGGCCAAGAAGTCGCTGAAGGTGATTCTGCCGGTGCCGTCCTTGTCCACCTCGGAGACCATTTTCTTCAGCTCCTCCTTCTTGGGCTCGAAGCCCAGCGCCCGCATGGCCACCTTCAGCTCCTTCACGTCGATGGTGCCGCTCCCGTCGGCGTCGAAGAGGTCGAACGCCTCGCGGACTTCTTGCTTCTGGTCTTTGGTGAGTTCGGGCTTAGGGCCCGACTTTCTCTTCTGGCTGGTGGAGGCCACGCTGGCCTTCCTGTCGCTGGAAGCCATCCGTCCCCGTCCGTCCCCGCAGCGGTTTTACCTTCCTAACGGTGTGGTCCCCCTGCGCGCGCCGGGGCGCCCCCTCGTGGAGCGCGGGCGCAGCGCGGCCTCCGTCCTCCCCAAACCCTTTGGGTGCGCGCTTTTCTCCAGGGGGGGGGTGGGTGGGGGGGGGCCTGCTCACCAAGCCTCCCGTGGCTGCGGGGTCTTATTTCCTTAGGGTCCGCAGCTCCCTTAGCGACCTCCCAGTTTCCACCGGAGGAGACCTGCTCCTGCACGAGCTGCCTGGAGCCACAGTTGTCTTCCCCGTAGCGCGCTGGCACTGGCTCGTCTCTTTCCAGGCCGTTTGTCAGGCTCTGCCAAACCAGGTGCATAGGGTTATTGAGAGGTTCTCCCTCCCTCTTTTCCATACTAATTAAAAATAGAAAGAAAGAAAGAAAGAAAGAAAGAAAGAAAGAAAGAAAGAAAGAAGGAAGGAAGGAAGGAAGGAAGGAAGGAAGGAAGGAAGGAAGGAAGGAAGGAAGGAAGGAAGGAAGGAAGGAAGGAAGGAAGGAAGGAAGGAAGGAAGGAAGAAAGAAAGAAAGAAAGAAAGAAAGAAAGAAAGAAAGAAAGAAAGAAAGAAAGAAAGAAAGAAAGAAAGAAAGAAAGAAAGAAAGAAAGAAGAAAGAAAGAACTCTCTTGGTCTGAGATTACTCGAGGGTAAATTTAGGATAACCAAGATTGGGCTTGATTGATCCCTTGGCATGGCATGCGGGGGAAGGAGGAGGAGAGGTTATTAAAAGTCACACCATGTGTACAAGTAGACATAAATGGAACACAGATAAAATGGAAAACGTTATGCATAAAATTTGTAGAAGTTTGCCTCCTGACATTACGCTCAACAATAACAACACTTCACTTGCTTATTTGGCACACACACTGGAGTATGAAATGTGATATCCAACTATGTGATTTACTCTCTGTTTCAATTTTATATACTCGGTGTAATTGCACTGGAGTAGTGGTCATGATTTCATTCTCTAGGCTTTTGATTTGGAGAGATGACGGGTTAGAATACTGCATTCTGGTATTCGGGCACTTAAAAAAAAAATCCTCTAGCAGCACATTACTCTCACTGTTTATCATCCAATCAGGCCAGGCTGAAACCACTCTCCGAGTGCCCCACTTGGCAGTGGACACGGGCAGATGATGCAGAGCAGGTTGGGCTCAAAATTGCCTCCTGAGATTAAAAAGAGGGAACTGGAAGCTTTTTAAATAAAAAGAAAAAAAGAAAAATAAGCCCATAAAGGAATTCCCTTTAGAATTGCTCTATATTTCTTTCACTTTTTTCATTTTTATTAACAGTTTAAAAAAAATCTTAATTTATTTCTATTAACTGTTATAAGAGGTTTTTTTTAAAAACAGTTTTGTATCACCAGCCTCCAGAAGAGTGCTTGACATATAGTAGGCAAATTAATACCGTATTTCCCGGCGTATAAGACGACTTTTGAAATGAAAAAAAGTCAACCGAAAATCGGGGGTCGTCTTATACGCCGAGTGTGTCCCAAAAAATGTCTCGATATGCCGCAATCAGGCCTTTCAAGAAGTGTGGCATATCAAATTCTTTGGACGGTATGGAGGATGACTTCTTGTGGCAAGATGAAGGGGAAGCCGAAACTGAAGCCACACCATCTGATTCGGAATTTGATCCATATGATGACTGTCTTACAAATGTACCACAAGAAGTCATTGATGAACTTATGATGTCAGAAGAAGAACATGATGAGGATTTTGAAGGATTTTAAGCTCACAATGCTCCTCTGCCTAGAAAAACCTCTTATCATCCCAGTCAGTCACAAACAAGCGTTTTCTGCAAGTTCTTCATGTAATTTTCTTTCCAGATGATGCCATCATTGTTAATGTTCTCTTTTGGATTTCTTGTTTCTCGGTCAAGTTCATGGCCTTGCCATTTGTGAAGAGACCTTCCATTTATCGTTTCAATGTACAGTATATTACGGTTTGTTCGAAAAATGTCATTCATTAAAAATTTAATTTAAAAAAGAACTGGTGTTGCCTCGGAAGTGGGGGGTAGTCTTATACAGCGAATATAGGCCTAAACCTATGTTTTAACTGTAAAATTAGGGGGTCGTCTTATATGCCGGAAAATACGGTAGATATTTTTTGAATATATGAATGAAAATTAATGTTAGTTTTAAAATACTTGTGAATTGTCAAAATAAAGCAAACAAAATCCCCAAAGATTTAATTATGCTAGGAGTATTTTACAAATTTTGTGTTGTTTTTATTTTTTAAACTTTTAAAAAATGTGTTTTTATTGACTTCAGAGAGGAAGGGAAAGGAGAAAGATAGAAACATCAATGAGAGAGAACCATTCTCAGTTGCCTATTGCACGTCCCCTACTAGGGATCGAGCCCACAACTCAGGCATTTACCCTTCCTGGGAATAGAACCGTGACCAGGTCCTGGTTCATAGGTCAACACTCAACCACTGAGCCACACGAGTTGGGCTGTGTTGTTTTTATTTTTTATTTACTTTATTTTATTTTGAGGGGCGGTGTTATTTTTAAATGAGTGATCAGATTTTGTTTACATGGCATGCAGGTTTAATTAGCCAGATCTCACTACCTGCCCTAGCCCACATGTGACTTAATGGACAGAGGGCCTGTGCACGGGGTTTCTGAAGGTCAGAGAGATTTACTTAGGACCCTCAGCCCCACCCAAGCACCTGTTACAGAGGTGTCAATGCAGAGTGGACTTGGGCAAGTCGACACCCCAGTTGCCAGTCTTTCAACACTGCCAATCCTGCTGCTTTCTTCACCAAGCCGAAAAACCTGGGGTCTTATCCCAAACCCAGGCTTCATCATCTCTGTACCCTTGAGAAAGTCAGCTAACCTCCCAGACTCAGTGGAAGCGCCTGCAAAGTAGGTACAATAATACAGCTTCCTGATACAGCCCCTGTGCATGTGCAGGGAGCCACTCCAGGGACAGTTCCCTCGTGGGTCAAACAGGGATGGGAAATCGTTAGCTGAAGCTGGATTCCTCCCAGACATTGTTCATTTCTTTTGACACTGCTCCTTGCCCAAGTGCAAGCCAAGCCGTGCTGTGCTGGGAAAAGCTGAAGGACAGAGGCTGCCTTTGGGACAAGCTGAGCTCGGAGAACCATGGTTGTCATGGTTTCCAGATGTGTGCAATCAACAGTCACAGCGAAGGGCCACCAAGAGCTCCCTGCATAGAAAACAGGGCCGTCGGTCGGAGTTGGCTTTTGGAGGAGAGTTACTTTATGTTCATAAACTGTCACCTGGTGTAAAAAGGAAGGAGACTTTACATTGGTTGTATGCCTGGGATTGAACTTGCTCCTCGCATTTGCTGTCCTTTTTCATTGGTGCCATCACTTCCCATTTTGCAGATGAGAAAAGAAAGAAAGGAAGGAAGGAAGGAAGGAAGGAAGGAAGGAAGGAAGGAAGGAAGGAAGGAAGGAAGGAAGGAAGAAAGAAAGAAAGAAAGAAAGAAAGAAAGAAAGAAAGAAAGAAAGAAAGAAAGAAAGAAAGAAAGAAAGAAAGAAAAGCCTAGGAGAGGTTTGTAACATATCCAAAAGTGCCTGGCCAATAAGTGGCCACTCTGGGATTTAAACCTTGGCCTGCTGAGTCCAGTGCGGAGGCTTTGCTGACATCATGCTGCCTTCTCCAGAAGTTGATACTATTACCGAAATGTAGTACCACTGGGAGGATGTGACACTGACTTTTTTCCCTACACCCAACAATAATTAAATATCTCGCCTAGAAATGTTTTAACAAGATTTTGTGGGATCTCAGACAGGGTCCCCTTCTGGGGCAATCCGTGGAGAGAAAGAGCAGTATGCCTGGTCTTTACTGTCATTCGCCTGTAAATCTGCTTCCCGTCATTCCCTGCTCTCAGCTCCAGGTATAAGTTTAGTGGCAAACAGTCCGGGCAGAGTGCACATCACTGGCATCAGCAAAAGTCTGTATCACACTGTGGAAATCAGTTTACTCGCTTTAATGTCACTTTTCAAGTTCTAATAAAACTGACATAACATAAATGAGGTGTGCCGGAAAAATCGATGGATCTGAACAATCTTGTTTTGTTTCTTGCACTTAAAATTCTTTGCACAAGAATGTCCTAGGTAATCTAGGAAACCAGCAGTTGATTATCTGAGAGAGGGGAAAGAGATGGTTGTTTAAATCTGGTCATGGAAGCTTAACAGCTGGGAGGGAGGAAAAAAAGAGGTGCTGGAATTTCACCACAGGGTCTGGGGTCAGCTGAGACCAAGAGAAAGGACCCATACTGTTTGCTTATTCTAATTGTTTGGTTTTCTATTTGACGTGCATGGCATGAAAAATGCGAGCCCCAAGAGCCTTTTAAAATTTAAGTTGCACTCAGCAAATTCAGCAAATTCCAGGTACCACCCAAGGCAGAAAACATGCATAATAAAATTTCTTTATTGCTACCTATTTATTTTCCAACACGTGTAGAACAGAGAAAATACAAATGCTTAACACTTCTACCAAGCAGGACAACTGTGCCGGGGGGTGGAGGGGCGACCCCCAAACCCACAATCACAGAACTAAACTATTTATTCTTGAATCTGCGAAGCCATTTACAAGAACTGGACTGAGCAGCAAGCGTTTTACAATCCCGGTGGTCTTCCAGTGAGACTGTGGAGTTCAGTGCAGTGACTCAGCCCGGGACTTTTTGGCAAGCCCAGGAACAGACTTCAGTGTCCAGCCAAGGGCTACATAATTTCTCATTCCACAAACCCCAGGAATAAAGAACGACTCCTCTCAGATATAAAAGCAGACTGTGTTTTAGAAAATAATTTACCAGAATCTCACTCTGCTTCCCAAACTTTCACCCAAATTCTCCTCGAAGGAAAGGAGATCTAAAGCACTTCCTTGGGACCCAGAGAAGCATTTGGGAAAAGCCTCGAACAGCATGAAATGTCTTCAGAAGCCTGTTTTTTCTTTTTTTCTTTTTTTAAAAAAAAGAATTGTTCTG